CCATCACTGATTGTGGCCCCGCATCGCTTCTCCTCCTGAAAAAAGGAGTGTTGCGACTGACTTATGTGTCTGTTTATAGGAAACACACCGAGAAGGCAGCTACGCATTGCTCCTTGAAAGTGAGCGCCACTTTTGCTCTTGCGGCAGATGGCACTTGTATTTTTTGTTTCGTATGCTATCACAGTATACATGCGTTCAAATATATCACTGTCTACAAGCCCTGTCCTACACACTAAATATTTTTGTATCGTCTCTGTGGGATTTCATTAATAACGGCTAAAACTAAAGAAACGGCAGTAGTCTATTCTTCACCATGCACAGCGGCTGAATGAACATGTTACGTTGAAACTGGACGTACGATAACTCCACTATGGCTAGATATGCAAAAGAAAACAGACATCACTTTATTTAACAATAAAATATCTATGAAACTTGGCGAAAGCTAGGCGAAGTCGAGGGGCCTGATCGTAAGCTAGCTTACTTTGAGGTAACGGGGCAAAAAGTTCACGTATCGAAAGCTGTCGAGAATGCTTTAAAGAGGAATAACAACTTGCAAACTATACAGTTGGAAGGCTTCGGTAAAAAACTGGAACAATGTAGAATCAAATTTGGAGTTGGGGTGTTCCGCGTTCCTCTTTGTTGAAAATTATTTAGGGTCACCATTTGGTATTGTCTCGAAGACAAACAGAAGTGGTTCTGCTTGACCTACCGATGAGTTGGTCAAACAGATTATGAAACGGCTTGAAAGTGATATCTACGGCTAATGCAGCACTTAGGTCAACATATTTCATGTTGTATTGAAGTGGTCAATCAACAGATCTATTATTATTCGTATTTTAGTCCTATTCTACCTGCTGGTAATAAATATAAAATCAACTTTTGAAATTTGACTATATTTAAAAGGCCGGCCGTTGGCATACCCAACAATACACTGCCGCTTCAATATAAATGCGACAGATGTTCTAACCTTTGGAGCAAGGTAGACTTAACCATATTCTGCAAACTGACAAGGCTGTGTGCATATGCAAAGGACCCACTTAGTCAAGTGGGTCCTTTGCATATGGAAGACTGTAAATTTTTAAACAAGATGTCATTTCGGCTCTCACAGCTTTTTACTGTTCGAATGAGTTCTGCTACTTCTTTGAATCGGGTCAAAAAAGACGCGGAACAAAAGCAGCCTACTGCTATCATTTAGAGGAGCGGATTTTAGAATAGTCTAAATCTATTATTTACGAAACGCTAAGTACAATAGTGTAAAAAAAAAAACCAATTATGTTTTTCGCATGGTCCTCGCTATGCGCGAGCGGTTATTTGCTCTCTTTAGAAAAAGAAGGCTACACATAGTAGAAATAGAAATTCTGTTTGTTGTTAGATTTTTCAAAAAATTATCTATTGTATACTATTGGTAGGTTTAGTGTAACTCTGAAGCACGTTTCGATGTCAAAGACATTCTATAGATAAGGCAACAATGCATAATTGATCCTAAAATGAAGCTTTTGTCGTAACTGAGGAACACAAGCCTCTTTGTGTACTAGCTAGTTCACCTTACCAGATACTTTTATGTTGACGTTCATCTAATACGAGAGCAACCTAATTACGTAAGGGATATTATGAAAAGGTTAAATACAGAGGTTTGCGCAGGTTTCTGCATTGGCATGGCTGCATTGACACTGTATCACCAGAAATTTCCGTATGTACGAATTGGTTTTAGGATTTCTAGCATGTAGTCCTTTCATGAAATATATTTACCGCTACTCAGAACGGAAAGCATAAGCGAAGTGAGAAGAGTGTCCACATTACTCCTGGAATGTCAGGAAAATGCCATACATATCAACATTGAAGGATTGAAGACAATTCTCTCCTCATTATGAGCTCCTGTTGATCTCCGTATCAGCACATTACGGATCAATATCGTGAATCGTCCAAAAGCAGTCAGTCAGTCATTCAAAGCGATTGCCTGAAACACTGCCGGGTCAACCCGGGCAGAAATTAAATGAAAAAGTACGTCATTGGAACAAGCAGATAGTGTACTGAACAGAGTGAGTTGATTGTTTTGCATGGTAACAATGCAGGTGATCTCGTCGAACGGGATAATTGATTGTCACTGAATGAAGAGTGCTCTTCTTTACAGGCTCTCTGCAACACAGAAATAAATTTCGAAAAGCGATACCTTGATAATTTGTATGTGCTTGTCGTCGCTGTCTAAGTTTGCGTTGTGGGGACACGCAACCAACCAACCAACCAACCAAATACTGCGGATACAGGCTCGGACTTATTTATAGGCTCGCTTCAACTAGATACCTAGAGGTAATGACTATTAACATCCCGTTTTGACATATACCCTCTTTCTAGATCTATAGCAAAGCTTAGATCTTCGTCCGAGGCAGAATAACTTGAGTGAATAGTACTCTGGCACATAATGCTGCACCGGTTTAAGTCGGTATAAGAATTTATTCTTTCTGCGATGATGGATTTCACGAGATGATTTCTCCATTGACTTAATGTTGGCTAAGAAAAGGTTTCAATTCGAAATCTAAATTTACCTCATCATTTGTAGGTCTCACTTCTATTTACAAAATGTCTGGACTATTTCTATTTATATCTGTAACCGCAGAAGAAGTGTTAGGGCGATATCAGCACTTCCGATGGGAAACATTCGCACAACTCAGTCTCCTCGTAGATGGTGCCACTACCGGTAAATCGCACAGCAGTTAGAACAGCTCTTGTGGGAATGATTCGAGGTCCCACACAATCACTTGCCGGAAGCTGATACTCTTTAGATAACTTCTTTGTCCGAGCTGCGCTGAATAGAAAATTGCCAGAGTATAAGGAATAACTCACGAACTTTGTCGTTTTTGGCAAAAATAAAAATCTCCGGTGAAAGAAATTGTGGCCAACCGATGCCTGTATTTTTTTTTTTCTTTATGTCGGAGTTCTTTGGGGTTTAACAAAATGGATACGGGTTATCTTGATTTGGGTCCAATAGTATAAGATCTCAAAACATTGATTTTATTCAGGTTTAGGTAGTAAAATAGGTGGTAGACTTGAGCGCACAGCATCCTATTAGCAGAAACGGTTCGCCATACTCCACAAGTTTTTCCAAAAAGAACGGCTGATTTGAGGGTGGCTGGCAAAATAACTAAAAGCGCCGTCACCTCTGGTTCGCATAGTTTGCTTAATGAAATGAATGCGAAGATCGGAAATGAAGACACCATCGAAGTAAATATCATACCATTTATTTACAACTATATGGGTGCGCTTGTCATTTTTTTGTAGTATATACACCAGACTTAGGTCAAATCAATGAAAATACATGTATAGAAGATAATAGCACTGCGTGTATGTTTGTGTTTATGTGTGTGTGTGTGTTTATGTGTGTCTCTCTGAGTGTGTGACCGGAGCAGCCGCTCATCATAGCGCTACTCCGAAAACACGCTTGAGTTATTCACTTCATTTCGATTCGTTTTAATCTAACTCGTATTCGCTCGTGCTCGTTTGCTTCGTTGTGCACAATCAGAGATAATCAAATAAGTTTCATAAATGTCAAAAACATTCTTCCATATCGTTACTTGCTTATGAGTCACTCCCTATCATGCTGTAAATAGGCTTTTTTTTTTTGTCTAGGTATCTATCTCTTTGGTACCATTCACCAGTCAGCTTTTTTTTAGTCAATTAATTATTATACTTTCGTTTTTCG